TTCATAGTATATAGTATTTCATATATTAAAATAATATGTCGAAATACTTTGTCGCCGACTTTGATAAACATAAAAGCGAATTAAACGCATTTTTGTTATAATTTTTAATAATATTAAAAAATTAAATGGAATCTTCATTATGGCTAAATTGTGTTTTTATGAATTTGTATATATTTATATAAAATTTGAATGAGCAATACATTTGCATAGTATGCACTTCCCGATTTGCAACAGAGATCAACAGAATTTCACTGCAAGGGTTACTTGATTGACCTTGGCGTGTACATATGTCATTTTATATGAGTCCGAAAAATATTGATTGCATGGTAACTCATTGGTCGACTACTCTTGCAGCGCATCATTTATTTTGAGGCTGTTTGTCGACCGACTTAATTTTTAATTTCATTGTAATTCGTTCGTCAACAAACTAAAGCAATTTATGACGCAATAAACATTTTACAGCTATCACTTGATGTTTTTGAAACACACACACACACACACACACACACACATAAACATATTAGAAGCAAATGAGTACTGAAATACTTAGAATTTCCGGGGCAATACGGTAATTTGCATAAGAAATTCGTGTCTTCGGTGTAAGTCACGTGCTTGGCAGCAATTACTAAGTTTAAGTAGGATTCAAGCGTTGCACTTTGCAGGGCACATTAATAATGCATTTGTCAGTGGGACAGTTGCTAATAATTAGACTGACTCAGACCCCCAAAAGATGTGGGCGTGGGCGAGGTAGGGGTAAGCGGACAAGGGCTGGGCAAAAACGTTAGCTAGGTGTTAATGCACAGGGCAAATTGAATTAGCACTTAACTATGTTGTTAATCACAACGACGATGGGAACGATGCTGACTATGATGATGGTGATGATGATGATGATGATGATGGAGTGCAGTCAACAGTCGTGCTATTTATTCATTAGTCCAACTGAACACACGAAAGCATATGTGGAGCGTAGGTGGCACACGAAAATTTGGCTGATTGAATGGCCGAAATGATGTCTCTCTCTCTATCTCGCTCACTCACTGTGTGTGTGTGTGTGTGTGTGTGTGTGTGTGTGGTGACAATTCAGTTAACTGTCTAATTTGCCCGAAATAATTGAAATGCTGCCCAGGCGAGACACATTAATTGCGCCGCTCGTCATCCAAAACTGCGTTTAATTACTAAATTAGACACTGTTCGAAATTGAGAGCTGCAGCTAAACCAACTCTCCATCTCTCATTCTATCTCGCTCTCCCATTACTTCACTCAATTAACTTACTCATACAGCTGCCTGTGCGCTTTGGCCAAAGTCCCAAGTGTATCTCTGCCTCTGTATCTCAATTAGCATATGCATGAGACAGCGCGTAAACAACTTCAGTTGAAACTGAAAGCCCAGCCAGTTCTGTTTTGGTATTCGTTTTTATTTATATTTTTCGCAAATGTATTGGAAATTCCACCAGCAAAATCAACTTCAATTTGTTGTATCTGTATCTGTAGCTCACGCTGTTGCTGTTGTTGTTGTTGTAGTCGCTGCTGTTGCCATTGATATGCGGAACATGTTTGTGTTTTGTTGCCACTGCAAAAGTTTTACGTCATTTCGTGTGAGCAACGACTATAAGTGTTATGAACGTAGGGTATTAATCGGAGGGCTGAGCCTCTTAGTAACTAGCGGAGCTGAGATACAATTAAATTTAGAAAATAAATTTAGATTTAGATATTGAAAAGACTGTTGAAATATCATAAATAATATTACTTGGCATAATGTATGGAGAAATATGTGAATAACTATGTACATATATACCGAGAGGTATATATTAACGGCTCTTTATTTGTATGAAAATACTTTTCCACGTGATTTTCAAAGGAGTCACAGCTATAAGAACTCAATCGCATTTCTGTATAAGGTAAATATATTTAAATTTGAAGTTATATGGTTGCTCAAATTGAATAATTTACAAATTTATAAACAGTGATATATAATATTCAATATTTACACATTTCAATCAATTATTTGTACATACAATTGTAATTTGTATTTTTTAATATTCGTTATATTAACATTTTCTACTTTTTTTTTTGTTTGATTAAAATTAATTTATTTTAATATTACATATATATTTTTAACTTTATTGTTTTTTTTTTTAATTTTTTTTTTTTTTACTCAAGCTGAACACTTGCACATTTTATTATGTGTATATTTTTGTTGTAAATTTTTGCTTTTATTTTAATCAGAATTATTGTTAGACGAATCTATACGCATTGCAGTCAAAGTTGAATTAGTACTTCCAGATTATCATTCCACATTTTAGTTATAGCATTTAGATTATATAATTGTTATAAACGCAAATTTATGAACTCTTGAACTTAAGGCAAACCAATGAAAACTGGAAATTGTCAGCGACTATTCCCAGAAATACGGCAAAATTTTTAATTGCCTATAAATATAAAACAATTATAAATATGCAACTCAATTACACAATATTTACAAAAATTATTGTATAGCAATATAGAAGCATTCATTTTACAGCTAGTCGCAAGAAATCTGCTAACAATGCGAAACAATTTTTTGAACATATTTGAAAGAAAAGACTGATCACCTGCTATATACATGATATTTAATATTATAAGCTAATATGGCCACAAAGTAGAACTTATGAACCTTATATACTATATACATCAATATAAAATGTAATCTAATCGTAGTGTATAAAATAAATAGATGATCTAAGCTAAAGCTAGAACAAACAATGTTTGGGATGCTCAAAAAGTACATGAAGTAGGTGAGTTGGCTGTTGCTATGACCGACTTGGCACTTAAATTGGTCAATGTTGAATCTTGCCTAGGCAAAAGATATATTTGAAAAAAAAAGAGAAGAAAGAAACAACAAACAATTGTCGAAGCGCGCTTAGTGAGTTGTTAACCCAAGAACGAGTCGGTTGTACGCAATGCCTGGGCTATGGCAGTTGCTCCAGCTGCTGTTGCTGCTGATCCCGGTGCTGCTCCTGCAACTGGGTGATGTCGATGGCGCCTCGAAACGCGGTAAGGCTAACCCAGATGGTCGTCCATCAATTGGCAACTAATGTGGAACATGTTGCAGTCAAGCTGTGCCTCCAGCCCATGGTCAGTGGCCGTTGCTTTGGCTATGTGGAGAGCTACGCCTACAATCCGCTCGAGCGGCGCTGCGAGGCCTTCATCTACGGCGGCTGCGGCGGCAACGAGAATCGTTTCGACAGCAAGGCCGCCTGCGAGTATGCCTGTCGTGATGTCTGATAACTGTTGGCCGAATTAGTGTTGTTGTTGTTGTTGTTGTTGTTGACTGATGACAATGATTGATGTTAATAAGAACTAGAGCTAGTGCTAGTGCTATTGCTAGTGCTTATATTCAATTTGTGGTTTGATTGCTTTTGTTGGCCGAGTTATTGCGCAGCTTGACGTGCCGCGCATTATTGCAGATCTTCTCGCAGTCCTCCAGCGAGCCGAAGAGTCGCTTATTGCTGCAGCCCATGAAGTGGCAGCGCTGCGTCTCCACATCGTAGTAGATGCCCACCGTGGTGGGCACGCACAGGCCGCTCGTCGTGGGCTTCACCTGGCACAAATCACCTGCGCGACAAACTCAAGTGAGACACGGAGACAAAATGGAGTGCGAGTGCGTTAGCTAGCTGAGACTTACGTGTGCGCGCCACAGCCAACTGCCACTCGAGGCACACGGCCAGCAGCAGCAGCAGCAGCGAGATTTGTCTGCTCCTTGTCGGGGCGTTCATTTTGCCAATGCTGAAGCTGAAGCTGAGTCGATTTGCGGAATAATATTTGAGATATATTTCGAGTGCTCTTCTTGCTCTGCCTGCTTAGCTCCTGGCGAATTCAGCTCTGTAGTGCGGCTGGCACAATTATCATCTGTATTTCCATAGATTCACTGTCGACTGTCGCTGCGACGAAGTTGTAGACAAATGCGCAGCAGAGGCAGCTGCCTTTCGCCATATATTGAAGCGCAGCAGTTGTATAGTATATGACGATCTATTGATATGCCTTCTCGTCTTCTTGTGCAATTTATGAGTTTTTTAATACGCGACAGCGACAAGTTCAGCGCACAGCGCACAGAGACAACCGAATTGAGCCGAAAATTCTACACACACACACACACACGCACACAGACACAAAGAGAATCTTTTGACACACTTGCAGATTAACGTTTATACGACTTGTTCCGGTCACCTTTTAGCTATAAAGAACGATTCTCTGGCATGAATTCACAATGTTTGGGTATGTATATTGAAATGGGTCTTGCGCCACATTTGATCGCTGGATGAGCTATTGCCTTTCTGCTGTCGCAAACTCGACTCGAAACCTCGAACAAAAGGCGAACAGATTCGTAATCAGGTTGCGCTCTGCCAATAGCCGCTGCTGACGCTGCCGTTGACTGATAACAGCACTACAACAACACCAACGCCAACAACAACAGTGTGACTGAGTCTGCGATGTCTCGCTGCCTGCATGTGCGTTGTTGATAATATGCATGGAGCTGGCGAGCGTACGAGTCTGGGGACCGCCGCTTGGGGGTTGGGATTCCAGCTAAAACTGGCGAACGCCTGTTGCAGAAGGCCGATCTACTATCCAGGGCCAGGGCTGACTAAGAACGAAGCATGACTACGCTTACTAAGTTTTTCTTCGAAATAACTGGGAATAATTGTATATGTTCCTATAAATTAGGAAATATGGGAACACAATTTCTCAGATAATGACATGTTAAAGATTTAGTTTTTTGCATTTCGACAACAATAAAGCAAACTAAAAATATTTTATAATTATATTATTTTATTTCTAAATGTGT